CAACATTTTTATATTTATGTAAATTGACATTAAATTGTATTATTATTTATGCTCACTTCATATAAATATATTTTTAATATAAAAATCAATACGAAATTGATAAATGAAGCAAATGCACAAACTAATTAAAATATCTATAGACAAAAAATATCAAAATTAGCAATTAAATATGTATATTAGAGGTATGCATAAAAAAAGTCTAATTTTAAAGGAAAATCTCATTTATTTTATTAATGAAAATGCATTCATTGGAATGACTAATTAGTTTAATAATTTCGCTTAACTTTGTCATTATTTTCGGCAATGATATAAGCATTAAATTATCCATTGTAAATTTGCAACTCAGGCAAAGGACATCTGCTCTCTCAACATTTATGTTTGAGCTCTGTGCATGGAATAAGATTTTGCAGTTGGACCTCAATTAGGCACATCAAATAATGACATAATAAATAATTGATTTCTCTGCTAATTTGCGCAGCATTCCAGCATTGTGACATTTTTGATGGGGTTTGCAGAATTCGAACACAAATACGATTCAAATCAAATTAAGATGATAAAAGCAAATTGCAAATTGGCAGCTGTCCCAGGCCCGTCCCCCTTGACCAGAGCGCCTCCCCCCTCTGGCGGCCCCACACTATCCATTCCATTCTTTCAGTCTGCTTCTCTGGCTCTGCTTGTACACTGGGTAATGCATATTTTATGTTATCGATTCCTTGGCACGGCGCACGGCCATCAATTGTCAAAATGTCATCCATTTTTAATGCCAGTGGGGCAGCATTTTGAAGTGCTCTCTAAAAAGCAACAAAAGGTTTTTAATTTCTCCTTCCCTCTCCATTTATATCTATCCCTTTCTTTCCACACCCCAAAAAGCCAACGAAGCTCTGTTTTAATTGTTGAGCAAATAGCAAACAAATTGCAATTTATAACTCTATAAATGTGGCAAATAAATTTCAACTGTTTTCATTGAAATAATACAACAACAAAAATGTATGTATATATTATGAAAATAAAGCAAAATTTTATTTGTGCCAGACTACGAATTTATTTTAATGCAAATGTGAAATTATTGCTTTTATTAATTTTGTTTCCCTAATTTTATTTCATTTTATTTTATTTTTTTACATATTTTACTCAATTAGCTTTAAAATATATTTTTGATATTTTCTAAAGAATGTTTATTAATATACATATACATAAATTTAAGAGAAGAATTAGGTAAAATGTGGTTGAATATTTTCATGAAAGAGATTTAACTTAAATCGAAATAATTTTGCTTTTATAGGTGTTTATATACTTAAATAAATATATATGTATAGATGTTTATATACAGTTTTTTTTTTATATATGTAAAAAATAATTGATAAATAAATGTTTTAATTTGTGAATGGAAAAATAATAAAATATCTAATAATATGTAGGCCAAAGATTCCTTTAACTAGAATATTTATTTATATGAATATTTAGAATTGTATACAACATTTTGTTTTCTTTTTGGTACACAAATAAAAAAAATATGTTTAAAAAATTGAAATAAATTGCTACTCAATTATTTTTTTATTATTATTGTTTTTTTAATAATCGTACAT